AAAACAATACACAACGTTTCGGGATCTGGAATCTGATCTCGTCCACAGGTGAAAAAAACTTAACTATCACATTACAACTAACAACACACAAAAAGCCCAACCTAAGTTGGAATACACTACAGAGAGTAGCAGTCCATTTATGTGCAAAACATTTCATAGGTTTGGTGCGATTAGTGCAAATTAGTGCAAAGGCGAACTGTGCGACTAGAGTTCCTTTGTGTGAGCTGTTTACCTTTTATAGTGTTTTGTGATTGATTATTTTTCGCATGTTGTATCATGACTTGACTGCTATACAGTGCATATTTTTTTGACTGCTACTCTCTGTACTGTATTCCAACATAGGTTGGGCTTTTTATGTGTTGTCAGTTGTAATGTGTTAGTTAAGTTTTGTTTACGTGAGGACGGGATCAGATTCCAGATCCCGAAACATTGTGTATTTTTTTACCATCGTGATGGAAAATGTCCGTAATAATCCTTTTCCGTTGTTTATAGATACTACGTTATTAACTGATCAATATGTCTTTATTTTCATCATTCATTTAATGAACGTAATGGTATTTATAATTAATACTTAGACTTTACTTTTGTATATAATGTAAATCAATATAATAATGTAATAATAAACCAAAAATATTTCTCACTAAAAATATTTACTGTAGGTAAACGAATGGTGTTTGATAGTGATTTAATCTAAGCATTTCATTTAAACTAAAATTAATCCGTTGTATCTAAAATAGCATATTTATATTCAAACATATAGCCTGGAACTGTAATACTTGCTATGATCACTAGATGTATATTGCTCTGTGTAAATCTAACATCAAAGGTAACAGATTTGCCGTTGGCTGAACAGGTCTCTGTACTATAACAACGTCTGTACATCTTTCAAAACAACAAATAAAGTTAAAGTAATCAGCTGCAGGATATTGTCCAATTTTTAGGTCAATGTTTATGTATTTGAATAAATCCGTGTATCAAATTAAACTATAATAGAACTAAGTTTTTTTTTAGAAACACTTGTACACAAAGTAATGGAGTTTTCATGAAATAATTTAAAGTCCTCAGTCCTAACCTAAAAACTTTAAAATATTAAGTTTTAATGCACTTTTAATGTTCCCTGAATGTAAAGAAAAGTCTTAAGTAAAGGAATTATATAAAGTCAATTGGTATTCAAGGATCTTGTCAAGGTGTAACGGAGAATCCCAAGACATTTTGCTGACCACTGAACCTTAAAAGCAGTTTTATCTGAATGAAGCTTACTCAGTTTTATGTTACCTGTAAAATTTAAATTAGTGTAGAAACTACCAAAGTAAAAGTTATATTGTACATAATCATTTAAATTTAAAATTAGAATGTTACTGTTTAAAAATATATTTTAAACACTAACAATTAATTTGTTACAAACACAAACATTTCTCAGTATTAAACCTTATGTGAGTGCAGTGGAAACAAATAAATTGAGTTCAATACCAATGAGTTTTTTTTTTTATTTGCGTAGTAAGTTAAGATTGAAATAAACGTAAAACTATTTGGAGCTTATTGTGTTATTAGCACATTTGTCAATTAATTGTAAGGTTGACAGTTTAATGGGTGACGTACCTCTTTCTCTATCTGTTTCCTGTACAGCACTAGTTGCTGGTGTCTATATGTATATATGTATATATATATGTGTGTATATATATATGTATGTATATATGTATATACGCAAGTTTCCTCTGTACCTTCTCTATGTCTATACACGGTGTTTTTGCTTGTGTGATTGCTAAATTGATAGATGTTGATATTTAAATCACATAGATAAGAAAATGTAAATATGACAAATGTGTCACAAACATTAATGATGCGTATAGCACGAAGGGAAAATAAGTAAATGAGTGTTAGCGAGACTGGATATGTCAAAGCCTCTGTGAGCAGTGATTCAATGGACTGCATTCAGACGCACTTTATTCATGAAGGATATACTGTAAGCTCTTGATCCATGCTTCGGTCTCACATTGATAAAAACATTGAGCTACATTGAGCTTAAAAGGAATTCATTTGTAAGATTTATCCAGGTTTAAAACTGAACCCCGATACAGTAAACACTTTGTTAAAAAAATCCCAGTTATAAATACAATTGCATACTCTTGTAATACCTTAATTTTGCATGGGAAATAAAAATATCGGATGTATGACAGGGATGATAACACACAGGGGTTCAGGGGACAGGGGTTCATTATTGGGAGGATAGTATTGTTGTTGGTTGGATTATACAAACTATAACAAGTACGAAAATCTTGTTGGAATATAGGTAGATATACAAATATCAAATTTATGTTTTAACGTTGGCCATGCCTAATTTTATTCAGCTTAAAACAAACAAGACCAAAGTTATGACTTCAAAACATAAACATTAAACGCCAGCAGTTCAGAATAATAACGTGGTTTTTGTGCTTCGGTTCACACATTCTAGAACTTTTATTGCACTATTCTCCAAAATCAAATAAAACTCCAACCCTGCTTTAGTAAACTGTTATTGTCACATCATTTATTTATTGAAATAACTTCTAGGCCTCTTAAATTCCATTCATTCACGGTAGATAAAATTTATCCACTACGCTATAGTGTTAGCAAAACGGGAGTGCCGATGGAGACCTGTGGGGGTGCGTGTGTTTGAAGGGACTTGACCTGGTCTCCATCGGCACTCCCGTTTTGCTAACACTGTACTCAGTTTTAATGAAATTCCCTCGCATGTATTTAGTCCAGGAAAAGACCTGTTTGCGGGCTGTTTAATTAAATGGCATGTAATTACACATTACTGTTTAGCAATAAATTTTAACGGAAACTAAAATAAAATTATCTTTATTTGTTGGAAATCTCATGTGTTTCGCAGGCATAAATTATTATCGACTTGACAACACTGTATCCTAAACTTCATTATAATAATGAAATCACATTAGCTTAAACATAGCAGTGAGCTTTTATTCGAGATCACAGCCTCTCAGAGAAGTTATTAGAAGTGTCTGTAAGTCGGCGAGAACATGACGGATTATGAAATTTTTATGGTTAGTTTATAGCAGTTTGATGAAAAATATCGTACGCCACTCGTCCAAAATGCGTTTACGATACTCGAATGAGACTAACTATCTATACTCGCCCGGTAAATTCTCACAACGCCTATTTTAAAGAAACGCGTCAGTAAATTCAGCACGAAACCACCCACATTGCCAAATGCTTATTTATTTTGTAGGTATTTACATCTCTCTATATTAAAAACTAAATTGAATGTAAATGCCAGTTAAAAAACCTCTTAAAAAGAAGGATATCAAACCATGAGTTATTTGTGTTTCGGTTCAGTTAAAATGTTTATTTCCAACCGGCTCCTTTTACAAACGTTCATTTTGTTTATTTGCTTTCGGTCAAAGAGACTTAGTAAATATTATCTCTGAACCAATTTACATCAATTTCACGATAAATGGGGAACAATCTTTCTGGAACACAAATATCTTGTTTAAATTACTTTTTACTCCAACCGTAAAGTAGATATATTTTTAAATATCATTTAAATTAGGCTAAACCGTCAATCATTACGTTTATGTCAAACTATTCAATTGTATCTTCTTTTATAACTCATAATTTTGTATATTTTCGTAATCATAATACTCAAATACCGTGCTAAAATGTTTCTTTTTTTAAGTAAACATTTCTCTCATTAATATTTTTGATCCTTTTAATAATTTGAATAGCTGTCTTAGCAAATTTCCCATATAGGGAATAAGCTATTACCGTTGGTCTCATGGTAAGACCTGGACCCGGGACCGATTTTCTTTTTCGTTTTGAGGTCCCCAGAGGCCAAAAACACCCTTCGTTAAAATTCATATACGTATATATATTATGTATTTAAATACATTTATATGTGCAAGTTAGCGTGATAACTCGAGCAAAAATCGTCAGATTTTTATGAAATTTGGTACAAACGTGTAAACCTACGTTTATTTGAGCGGGTTCGCGAACCAGAATTATCGGACTATGGAACAGGGGCTTATTGGGGATTTTTTGGGGTAAAGATTGGTTTTTCCCAAATAACATATAATTAAAAATACCCATGTTATTCTTATGGAGAATAAATAAACTCTTGTAGTTTGTATGTTTATGGATATATTTTAATCAAATTTTGCCATTTTATTTATTTTATACTAAGCTATCAACGTTTCAATGAATAAACACACCTCAATACACTTCCAGTAGCAGCAAACCTAAGTACTCATTAAAATAAATGTTATTTAAATAGGAAATAAATCTGACACTTTTAAGGGAATATTTTAGTAGAAATTCAGCCAGGTAAATGGAAATTCGCTTAATCTGCAGGTTTGCTGTGTTGGAGCCGTTTATAAGTTTCACTGGTATTTAAGTAAATTTGCCGTATATTATAATTTACAATTCATATGTTACATCAATTTGAGATCAATTACTAGTTGGATTAACACTGGCTTAGGCCTACTATTTTTTTACTTTAAGAAGTTATACAAATATATAATGTATTTGTGTGCTCTCTAACTATTATAATAAAACGTTTCATACATGTATTGGCCGATGAGTTTTGCATCATCTTTCGCTGTGGCATTTGCTACTGTCCTGGCATTCGTTGATGAAAGTATGAAACCTAAACATTGATAATTTTTACTGACTTATTTTCCAATCTATTTTTAAGTAATGATAAAAAAATAATATAAGATAAACGTTTACAATATAAAATAACTTAAACCCTGTTCAGTGCTCATTAAATAACTTAAGCATATACAAACCCACTGGGTGGACCTAAGTGACTAAAGTGTTAAACATGTTTTAAATTTATTTCTGGGCTACATTATGTTTAGGCCTATAGTACGTCCTTAGCTTAATTTTTAAGCGATATATCTTAATATCCCTAAATTAGATTAGTTCAGTCGGCTTCGTTTAGTCAATATATACCTGTATCAGTTAATTTAAAAACATTAAGGATTTAATGAAAATATGCTTAGTTATTTCATAAAGTTTTATTTCTATTTATAATTAATCACGTTAACTTAAGCCATCCCTTATGTTGGCCACATGTACATCCTTCTTTGTGCTCAGGGCTGCCAATCGTCAACTAAACAGATATAACAAAATATTAACTTTGTCTTAATATGTTTAAGCTATCTATATTACTGGATTGAATACTGATACACATTAAAGTGGTTAACATTAAAAACTCAAATGGTAGGAATGCATAAAACAGTAGTTTAAGAACTTGACTGAAAAGACATGGATTCCTAGAATCAATTAAGATTTTATTTATTGACGTCGTCTTTACAAATATTTTAGCAAAAATTCAGAAAATATTATCAAATATAGTGTTTACAGATTGAAGCTGCATACTTACATCGACGAATGCCATAAAGGAAGCAAGTGCCACGATGAAGGCTGATGCAAAACTCATCTGAAATTTACCTAACATTAACAACACGTACTAGGGGATGTATACAGTAGTTAATGTGCATCTAAATAAATTGCATAGTCTTTATACAAATACAAATTGCAAATAGTGGTGCAAAGTGTTATTTAAATTCGTCATTGATTTAAAAAAGAAGTTAAGTATTCATTAAAAATTATAATGTTACAGTAAACTTACTTAAATATTAGTTAATTTTGTAAAAAAAAGGCTACAATAGAGCATTATATTACAATATGGTTGCTATCTATTACCTTTACTGTGGTTGAACAAGACTCTCAAAGATCACAGTTGAAAGTTATCTTAAAATGTAATAAAGTAAATCAGACCGAAATATTAATTAGTTATGGTTTTTACTTTTGACAAAAGACATTGGAATTTCATCTATTTTAATGCCACTCACAAACAATAGTCAATACCAAAAACAGATATTGATTTAACGCATTGTTAATTATTCATGTCATTCGTTGAAGCCTTAAATTACTCAACTAAATTGTACCAAAAACATAAATTATTTATTATATGTGTAGAAAGAATTTTAAAATTAGATAATTGTATATTGACTTTTATCAAAATTAAGAGCCATAACTACACATTCAGGTCATACAGGTCTGATTTTCATTAAATTATAAGGCACTCTGATTAATATTTACCACCTATTTACCATTCGATCACATGATATATTCAACGAAAATCGTGGAAAATATACTAATATTATAACTACCAGAGAAGTAAAACTAATTTCAATTACGAGCTTTAAGAGACTTGGTTAATTTAATGTTCAAAAGTAGCCTTATTTTAAAAGTTACACTGGTATTAAAGTAAATTTACCGTATATTTTAATTTACAATTCATTTTTTGCTTCAATTTGATAAATTACGAGATTATACTTGATTGAGATAAATTACGAATTTAATTAACACTGACCTACTATTTTAGCAAATTTCCCTGTAGCTATTACTGTAGGTGGCACGGTGAGACCTAGGCCCGGGACCGATTTACTTTTTTTATGTAGAAAATCTATTTAATTAAGTATTTAAAATAATGGTGTAGTTTTGAAAGAAAATCGATCGTTTTTACCTAACATCAGTATTGTTCAATCATTTACAGAGAATCATTTACATTGGATAATTTAATGTTCAAAAGTAGCCTTATTTTAAAAGTTACACTGGTATTAAAGTAAATTTACCGTATATTATAATTCGCAATTCATATTTTACTTCAATTTGAGATAAATTAATTACAAATTTAATTAACACTGAATTACTATTTTAGCGAATTTCCCTATAGCTTTTACTGTAGGTGGCACGGTAAGACCTAGGCCCGGGACCGAATTACTATTGTTATGTAGAAAATCTATTGAATTAAGTATTTAAAATAATGTTGTAGTTTTGAAAGAAAATTGATCTTTTGGTTTTTACCTAACTACAGTATTGTTCAATCATTTACAGAGATTAAGACAGTGTCAAATTTAATGTTACTACAGTGTATCACATATTTGAAACAATGTATCTAAATCACTTTGCTATATCCAAAAACTAGTTTAATTTGCAAACGTGATTTTTAGTTGGACAGCTAAAAGACCGTGATATACAAAGAAGTTATGCCTATTTGCAACTGTTATTTTGACATCTAAATTAATCCTACAGAAAAAATCCAAAGTGGATATTGGTGGATGATTATTGATAAAGGAGATAATTGTTAGTGCGTGTTCAATTCTCCTTGAATGTAAAGGTTTTAAACTAGAAAGTCGTTCGAATTCCAGTATCTCATTCAGGTTAAATTGAGAAATCCCCAGCCATTTCATTGACAACTGAGCCTTGAAACGTAATTTCCTCTAAGCGTCTTTCACAAAGTCCAATGGAACATTCAATTTTACTCTAAAACGTTGTACTTAAATTAAAATAAGAGCTTCAACTTAATGTTAAACAACACTATGCAAACACATAAAGAGTTAGCAAGAAGTGTACATGTACTTAGTATTTAATCGCTTTAATTACAAATTACTTAAGTTTGGTAAATTTTTGCTTATGCTTCGTTTGCATGCCATTCGACTAATATTATCACAATGGCTGAAGAAGTAACATTAAAGTTTATATTTGCATTATCGTATGCTCATATAAATATAAACATAAATATAAATATTACAATCGATAAGTAAGCTAAACGTTAAATTTAATCAATCTAATGATGGTAATAATTACAATAAAAAGGGAGGGTTATTTTTACAAATTTTTTATCATGAAAAAAGCATAATCTCGAAAAAAGAATCTATTCCAAAACAGTCTATTGTGGTATCTGTAGAATTGACTATCAATAACAGAACTTTATTGTAAATATTTAAACTTCAATATAGAAGACTTGTCTCCAAAGTTTCAATCTCCTTTTAGCGAATTTCCCATATAGGGAATAAGCTATTACCGTAGGTCTCATGGTAAGACCTGGACCCGGGACCGATTTAGTTTTTCGTTTTGAGGTCCCCAGAGGCCAAAAACACCATCCGTTCAAATTCATATATATATATATATATATATATATATGTATATATATATATATGTATATATATATATATATATTTATTTATTTATTTATATATGTGTCCGTTAGCGCGATAACTCGAGCAAAAATGATCCGATTTTGATGAAATTTGGTATAAACGTGTAAACCTACATTTATTCGAACGAGTTCGCGAACCAGCATGATCGGACTATGGGAACAGGGGTTTATGGGGGGTTTTATGGGGTAAAAATGGGTTTTTCTAATTCTTCACCCTGAAAACATAAAATTTTGCAATTTCTTTCTAAACCATTTTGTAGAGCTCCAAAAAACAAATAATTTAGTATATTGAAGCATTGTTGCATGCCTAACGGTTACGGAAAAATCGCAAAACAGTGTAAATTTAAAATTACCATGTTATTCTTATGGAGAATAAATACAGTGTTGTAGCTTGCTTATCTATGGACTTATCTTAATGAAATTTTGAAATTTTGTTTACTTCACACTAAGCTATTAATATTTCAATAAAAACCCCCTATTTTCTTCCCTGTAGCAGCAAACCTAAGTACCGGTACTCATTATATTAATGATATATTTAATAGGAAATAAATCTGACAATTTTAAGGGAATAATTTAGTGGAATTCCAGATGTGTAGATGGAAATTCGCTTAGTCTGCAGGTTTGCTGCGGCGGGAGTATTTGATAATATATGATGTTTGTTATTAAAAAGTTCCATTTCACTTTTAATTATATTGCCAACTTAACAAGTAATTATCTTTGTACAAAACATCGCTAAAGGCGATGAAGTAATTATTGTCGTGCAGTTGCATGTTAATAAACTGCAAGCCAGTGTTTTTTTTGTGTTTTTTTTTAGAATAACGTCAGCACTTTATACATCAATTCGGGGATTTATTCCCGAAGAAAGTTTACGCTCGTAAGATATATTTTCCACATTAGAATTTAAAACTCCAATTTTCTTATTTAATTTCCTCTGCACTTTTTAATGTTTACATTTTAAACGAGTGTTTTAAGAAACGGTTTGGCTCAGGGCTATTGCCTCAAGTTTACTCCTTATTAGAGGGATTAATTATTTCTCCAATGACAAATAAAAGTATCTTGTGCCAAAATAAGCTCTTACAACATTAGTTTATGATTGAAAATACTTAAACCACATGACTGCCTACTCATTGGTCATGCATTAGTGAAACAACTATGGAAGCAACACGAGTAACAAGTACAATTCATAAGAAAGATAACCTCGAAATAAGGAATTTCAATAAATGACTATGAACTGCTTCCTTTTTATATTATATAAACGCATCAATATTTAACAAGTTCGAATGTGGCATCATATTATTAATCTTTTTTTCTTAGTCCAAGGACTACATCTACAAAGTATCGGAAATGGTTGCGGTATTTGTAAACAACATTTGTAAACATATTACTACTAGTGACAGCTAGAAAAAATAATCTTGATCCGAACAGCTATTCGTTATTTCATAGATGATTATGTGATAAAAATTGGACGAAAACTTGACAAAGATCGCACAAAACTGCATTTTTGAACGTCCGTAATTTTATTTACAAAGTATTGAGGCCATATTTTAATGGCTAAAGACACTCTCACCAATCCAGTGAATACATTAAAATGACTTGGATCTTGATAGGTACTCTCGTTTTCCTGGAGAAGATTGCATAAAATGCCATCTTGAGTGTTACAGACAGACAGACAGAAATTTAGATGAGACTTGTTTCGGCTTCTTTAATGTATAAAACGTAAAAATAACCAAAAAATTTATGATTCTGAGCAATGTACAGACAAAACTCTAATTTTATTTATATAGATAGATAGGTATACCTGTATCAGTTAATTTGATAACACAAAAGGATTTAATGAAAATATGCTTAGTTATTTCATAAAGATTTATTTCTATTTATAATTAGTCACGTTAACCCAAGCTCATCCCTTATGTTGGCCACATGTACATCCTTCCTTGTGCTCAGGGCTGCCAATCGTCAACTAAACAGATATAACAAAAATATTAACTTTATCTTCATTATGTTTAAGCTATCTATATTACTGGATTGAATACTGCTACACATTAAAGTGGTTAACATTCAAAACCCAAATGGTAGGAATGCATAAAACAGTAGTTTAAGAAATTTACTGAAAAGACATGGATGCTTAGAATCAATTTAAGATTTTATTTATTGACGTCATCCTTAAAAAGATTTAGCAGAATTCAGAAAATATTATCAAATACAGTGTTAACAAGTAAGTGGCATACTTACATCGATGAATGCCATAAAGGAAGCAAGTGCCACGATGAAGGCTGATGCGAAATTCATCTGAAATTGACCAAACATTAACTAGATGTACTAGGGGATGTATCATAATAGTTAGGGCGCATCTAAATAAATTGCATAGTCTTTATACAAATACAAATTGCAAATAGTAGGGTAGTGCTTAGTGCTCATTCTTTTCGTCATTGATTTAAAAAAGAAGTAAAATATTCATTAAAAATTATAATTTAACAGTAAACTTACTTAAATATTAGTTAATTTTGTAAAACAAGGCTACAATAGAGCGTTAAATTTCAATATGGTCGCTATCTATTACCTTTACTGTGATTGAACAAGACTCTCAAAGCTACAGTTGAAAGTTATAAGTATTGTAATAATGTGAATCAGACCACATAAATATATTATATTAATTAGTTATGGTTTTTACTTTTGACAAAAGAAAAATTGCATCTATTTTAATGCCCCTCACGAACAATAGTCAATACTAAAAACAGATAATGATTTTAACGCATTGTTAATTATTCATGTCATTCGTTAAATCCTTAAATTACTCAACTAAATTGTGCCAAAAACATAAATTATTTACTTTATGCGTAGAAAGAAATTTTAAATTAGATAATTGTAAATTGACTTATGTCAAAAGTAAGAGCCATAACTACACATTCAGGTCATACAGGTCTGATTTTCATTAAATGATAAGGCACTCTGATTAATATTTACCACCTATTTACCATTCGATTATATGATATATTCAACGACAATCGTAGAAAAAATACCAATATTTTAACTACCAGAGAAGTAAAACTAATTTAAATTACGAGCATTAAGAGACTTGTTCAATGGCAGTAAAGGTATTAGTGAACAACGAACGACAACATTATTAAGGTGGAAAGGATGAACACTTCAAACAATCTTTGATTTAAATACATACTATAAACATACATGCGGTACTGGCTAATAATGTGATTTCTAACAGTATGCATAGATTTTCCCTGCGTTGCACACGAGCTGAGCAAAAATGTTTTAAAGAAACATGCTTGCCTATTAATATATAGATATGCTTTCTTATTCAACTAAGTTTCATTCCTGTTCATTGTTCACCACGTACACCCCAAGGATACTCCTTACGTCCGTCACTTCCTCCGTCCATGGGCTCTTGTATTGTTGTGAACTAAACAGACAGCAGAACAATATTCATTTGAACGACTGTTTAAGATATCTATATAGTATTGAATACAGATACAAATTGGTCAAATAATTTATGATTACCATAACTTGAAATGTTATATTAAAATTAATGTTTAGCCCCTGAGCAGTGATGTTACTAAAAAATAGGGTTTTCTTTTTTTGTTGAAATATTTGTTTTACTAAACTGCCATGAAAAACTTAAAACTATAGTAATGTTATTAGGGATGGAAAAAATGAAAAATTCTAATAATGGAAAAGCATTATACAGTAGTTTCAAAACTCGAATGTATGCGACAGGAAATCTAAGAATCAAATTAATTATTTAAATATCGATATCACCTGAAAATAGATTGGAAAATAAGACAGTAAAAACTATCAAACATGGGGCTATAATGTTTGGTGTCATACTTACATCAACGAATGCCAGGAAAGTAGCAAATGCTACGGTGAAAGATGATGCAAAACTCATCTGCTAATACATGTATGAGATGTTTTATTATAATAGTTAAAGCATACAAACATTATATCTTTTTATAACAACTTAAAGTTAAAAAATAGTAGTCCAGTGTTAACCCAAGTGGTAATTGATCTCAAATTGAAGTAAAATATGAATTGTGAATTATAATATACGGTAAATTTACTTTAATGCCAGTGTAACTTTTAAAATAAGGCTACTTTTAGCCTTATTTTAAAAGTTACACTGGTATTAAATGTAAATTTACCGTATATTATAATTTACAATTCATATTTTACTTCAATTTGAGATAAATTACAAATTTAATTAACACTGAATTACTGTACTATTTTAGCAAATTTCCCTATAGCTATTACTGTAGGTGGCACGATAAGACCTAGGCCCGGGACCGAATTACTATTGTTATGTAGATAATCTATTGAATTGAGTTTTTTAAATAATGGTGTAGTTTTGAAAGAAAATTGATCTTTTGGTTTTTACCTAACATCAGTATTAATTGTTCAACCATTTACAGAGACAGTTTCAAATGCAATGTCATTACAGTGTTATCACATATTTGAAACAATGCATCTAAATCACACTGATATATCCAAAAACTAGTTTAATTTACAAACATGATTGTTAGTTGGACAGCAAAAAGACCGTGATATATAAGAAGTTATGCCTATTTGCAACTGTTATTTTGATATCTAAATATACCCCTCATTTAAAAGCCAAAGTGGATATTGGCAAATGATTATTGATGAAGGAGATAATTTTTAGTGTGTGTTCAATTCTCCTTGAATGTAAAGGTTTTAAACTAGAAAGTCGTTCGAATTCCAGTATCTCATTCCGTTAAATTGAGAAATCCCCAGCCATTTCATTGACAACTGAGCCTTGAAACGTAATTTCCTCTTAGTGTCCAACAAGAGTGTCAAACAACACTGTGCAAACAAATAAAAAGTTAGCAAGAAGTGTACTTAGTATTTAATCGCTCTAGTTACAAATTACTTAAGTTTGGTAAATTTTTGCCTATGCTTCGTCTGCATGCCATTCTACTAATATTATTGCAATGGCTGAAGGAAGTGACATTAAAGTTTGGATTTGCTTAAATTATCTTGTGTTCATATAAATGTAAATATTAAAATCAATAAGTAAGCTAAACGTTCAATTAATCAAACTAATGATGGTAATAATGGTTATTACAATAAAAAAGGAGAGTTTTTCTTTTTTTTAAGTAAACAAAACTTTTTTGATGTATTATAAAAGAAGCATGATCTTAGGTAAATGAACCTTTCCTGATACAGCCTATTATGGTATCCGTACCTATCATATTCTATTAATAATGTAGAATTAACAATCCAATACAGAACTTTAATTGTAAATATTTGAACGACAATATATAAGACTTGTTTCCAAAGTTTAAATCTCTTTTTTGATAATATATGATGTTCGTTATTAAAAAGTTCCATTTCAATTTTAATTATATTGCCAACTTAACAAGCAATTATCTCTGTACAAACAACGCTAAAGGCGATGAAGTAATTATTTTCGTGCAGTTACATGTTAATAAACTACAAGCCAGTGTTCTTTGTTTGTTTTCTTTTTTTCAAAATAACGTAAACCTTGTATACATTAATTCTATAAATCCCGAAGAAATGTATTACTAGTTGAGTAAATTAGTGACATAACTATGGAAGCAACGAGTAACAAGTACAATTCATAAGAAAGATAACCTCGAAATAGGAATTTCTATTAATAACTATGAACTGCCCCGTCTGTATATCAAATAAACGCGTCAATTTTAACAAGTTCGAATGTGGCATTACATTATTAAATATTTTTCTTGGTCCAAGGACTACATCTGCGTTTAATAAAGGAATTTTTACTAAACGCAGAACTACAAATTTAAATGATTTTATTATTAAAAATCTAAGGGATTCTGGTACAACGAAATTGTTTAGTTATAAAAAGAAAATCTTAATGTTGTTTCTGACATTGACGAAGGTGGTAGAGGATGGTATTTTATAGTGTAGTTTATTTTATTAATATTTAATTTCGATAATGGTTAAGGGATGTCATTAGGAAATTTACGGGGGAAAGGTTAACTTTAAGCTTTGTATGGACAGTAATATAATTATCAATTTAAGGAAACTGCTAATTACTGTAGACCTATAAAGTTAAAGATAATTTTATTCATAGATTATGCCGTTTACTCCATCATTACAGGCGGATAAATTATTGTTGTTTTCATTATGTAAACAACTCTTCGTCCCTTAGTATATTTATTAAACACTTGTTGTATACCTTCAGCTTACGTTGTAGCAGAGGAAACTACTTTTGATAAGATAGAATCACAAAATGTATATTGCTTCAGTAAATAGTTACTGCAATGACAAATTATATTCCTTGCCCGTTCATTTAAGATTTATCAAAAACAAAACTAAAATATAAACTAATTCTCCTTACTAGCATTTCAATATTTAACACATTACACCTAACAGTTTTAAACCCATTACCACTTAAGCTTAGTTTGTATAAGCTTATTCGCCAAGGGATTTTACACATATCAGGCTCAAACGCAATTGTTTGAAATTTTAATGACATCGGGAGCACCGGGACTTAGTATAATCCAATGAATGTTTAATCCACAAGGTGAAGTAAGTTTGTCTTTAAGATGGATGTATTTAAATATGTAATTCAGATTCCAACACTATTACAGTTTTGTGGTGAAATAAAAGTATATATAATTATAAAAAATTCAATTAATTATCCCTTTCAATGAGAACTCTTGAATTTCACAATGATATCTCATTTCTCTAAGTAAATATTATCTATTGCCAGGTACTTTTCCATATATTTGTAATAAAAGAAACAGTGTAAAGAGTTGATTCTTAGGAGATCGTGTGTATTTAACAAATTCATAGAGGCTTTATCTTATATTTCCAAATGCAGCATAAAATTCTGAGCTACAATCATAACTAATAAGTAAACAACTAAAGTTGGTTTTATAAGAGACAGTAAAAGTAGAACTTATCTCCGATTTATTTTCCATTTAAATTCACTTACATGTTTTAGTTGAGAAATAATGGCAACATTAACGATGTATCTTCTATAAGACTAAGATTACGAGACGTAGTTTATTCATTAATTGTGAAAGTGTCAGCAGTTTTCCTAATGGTTTAACTTGACAAATTTATGCTAACTTTTGGAAAGGGTTCAAACTGAAAACTATATCCTTCCATCACAAATTTTGCAACGTCCAGATTTTCAGTTTGTTCAATTACTAACTGAAAGATAAATATTGGAATCGGACTTGTATCAAGCTATTGGACATGGACATTGTAATTTCAGATCTATGTGTAAAAACAGTAAATAAGAATTGCATACGGCACGTCATTATTTTCGACCTATACACTTTTTGATTATTAGATTTTAGAACTGTTAAATC